GGGGCATACAGAATCCACTCCCATATATAGTTGGGATACATTGCCATATAAATGAAATATTCAATGTGATCATAAAGTTGAAACGAGCTAAGAGAAATCATACAAAACATGTCATGCTTGTTTCTTCTAGCATAGAAGAGCACATGAGAGAATATATATGCCTAATTGTGCAATAATATAAAACAAAAATATGAGTGTCACTAATGATCACTACAAGCAAGAATGCCAATAGCATAAACAAGTAGTGTCAAGTAGAGGAATTAGTCAGATCTCAAAAAATAATTTCAGAATGCTACTCGATTGATGCATATGAATATTGGAGAAGATTTATGAGTCAATCAAGAAATGTTGGACAAGCTACTCGATTGATGCAATGAATATTATAGACAATTTCTGTATTCAATCTTGCTTCTTCAATTTTTCACTCCCCAATGTATTGATCTCTCCATAATACTACAAATCAACTACTTAAAGAGAAAACCAAAGTCCCAAACGGGCTCAAAATGGAAGAAGAAACCCCATTTTTCCATCAGACACCCAAAAACCCCAAGTTAACCATTACCCGATATCCTAAAATATAAAATAAAATGAAAGAAAACCCTTACTTGTTTTCTTTCTTTTTTGTTTCTTTCTCCTTTGTTGCAGGTTTAGACCATAATGCTCCATTTGAGCTACCTCTAACGTCTCGCATCTTTAGTCAGAGTACGGAAGAGAAGAAAATGGAAACGCTCACTTTCATTATTATTATTATTATTCTTCTGTCATCTATCTATTCATTCCCACCTGCCACAGTAAACCACGAAACCTTTGCTATTCATCCTCTTCTTTCATCTATCCATTCAATAGGTGAGGTATCCCACTTCCACCATGTGGTATCTCACATTCGGCTGTGCAAGGCATCTCACTTTCCACCATAAATAAAGAGAGAGAACCAATGGAGGGAGGCTAAATATTTGACGTGAGAGAGAGGCAACAATCCCGCGCCGAATATTTTTATAGAGAGATGCTAACTCGCAAGTTAGCGTTTTTTTCGAAACTTTTAAAATTCAAGTGAGACGTGTTTTTTTTGGGATTTTTTGGGGTGCTATTCAAATCCTATATGATCTATTTTGATATTATCAAACATCTCTTTGACCATATCAAATTAGAAAAGTTCAAGATCTTATAATATTCTAAAATATCCCAATAGTATGGACCTATCAAACATACCATAAATAATCAATAACATGATCAAGACATCATTTATAAAATAACTCTTAAAATTCCTAAGTAGTTTGATCAATATATGATCAAGAATATACAACACAAAGTCTATGTTGTTGAAACCAGAAATCAGCTCATTATATAGCTTCATGATCTGAACATTGAGTAAGTTCATCATTTGATCAAAGTAACATTATGCTTTTAGAAAATATCAGCATTCATCCGAATTTTGAATCAAATTTCATTACCAAAGGTTTCCTGGTTTTCACGTTGCTACAAAAACAGCAGCATATGCATTCTTTGTTTGATCAATATCTTCTCCAGATCTTATACCTTATTGTCAAGAAACTTTATGAACGAACTCACAAAGAATTCAAGAATCATCTCAAATCAGATTCTGATCACAATTAGATGGAAAAATCATCTCAAAATGAATTTTCACTACAGATTTTTTGTTTTAGAAACATTATGATCAATTTTATCTCAAAAACTTCAGCACCAAATAGACATTAAAAAAAAAAAAACTTCAACACCAAATAAATTATTAAGATCCATGGACAAGTTATAAATTCATCCAACATATCATAAATCAAGCAAAAAGGAAATTAATATAGGCTTCTAGTGTTTAGAGCACAGAGCACCATAGTAGCATTATGCCACACATTAGAACGATGGATCGACTAAATTAAAGTCCTAGAAAAATCCTTGCCCATGCAATTATTGGATATTTAACATGAGATGATTTCTATCAAGGTAACCACATCAAGGGAAGCAACATTCAACAAACAAGTACACATCCATCACTACAACCAAGATTCAACAGACATGTACACTTCCATCAAGGTATTTGTCCAATAACCCATTTCTAAGAAAGATAAACAACATTTAACAAAGTTGTCCATAAAAGAGTGCGAGTGCACATATAGCAGCACATCATCAATTGTCTAAAAAAGAGTGCACATACCACAAGTGCACATAGAAACTGTAGGAACCCATAACACGGTCATAAGAGTACTTGCATAAAAGCATGAAGAAAGAGAGGAAGGAGGAGAAAGCTGCATCTATGCAGATGCTAATATGCGATGCACACCATACATGTACTCAACTCTATTTTCTTGACTCATGTTTAAGAACAAAATGGTCATATGTGCATGGTCTACAGTATCCCTTGTTGTAGTCATCTTGACCCTAGGTGTGAGGCCTGGGATCAGGATATGGCATCGCTGATCTGAATCGTGAGTGGATTTTTTGTTTGTTTGTCCAGATCTCACCTAAATTGTACACAACATCTGCCATATCAATGGAGTCATGTAGTGCCCTCTTCTTCTTTGGCCTTGCAACTCCACTCTTGGGCACTCTTCCATATGCACTTGATTGCAACGGTGTCTCAAGTGCACCGTCCTCATCATCTGGTACCGCATCGAAACTGACACCTATATCTCTCATTGAGACATTATCAAGTCTTTCAAGTGCTTCACTTTCTTGCTGACTTTCTTTCGCTAGCATGGATGGTATCCTCGCACCACATCTTTCAGCAACTTAGTTGCTAATGATTATGTTGAGCGCATCATAATAAGGGAAGGGCCTATCTCTCCACCCTTTAGCCTTGGTGGCTTTGCATAATTAGGGTGAACATATTACAACTAATACTTTAGGCATGATAAAAAACTAAGAAACGGACATAAAGCACATGACTCAACTCAACATGAGCATCCCATACTTCATCATCAATAAGTATGTGGTGCCTAATACTATCCCAACCAAAACCACATTGCTTTTTTAATTTCCTTAACAATCAAGTAGTTGATCATCCACATCTTTAGCTTATTTTTTAAATTGTCCCTTCAAGTCCATGCCAATTTGTTTTAAAAACCCCCATTCGATAAGACCTATTGTTGGGGTTTATAGCTTTTTACAGTTTTGTTAGTGTCTAGTGTCATCTCAACAAGTAGATCCAATAAAAGTATTATGCATGACATTGTATTACACCAACATCATACGTCAATATACATATATCATTTACCATTGCATTCAAGACTCAGTTGTTGCATACGTATTATACCATAACCTCATTCACACCCACTCGCATTTCAATTGTGCAAATAGCATTACTAAATGAAAAAACATTCTCCCTCATATATAAACAAGTAAAAAACAATTAAAGATGCATACATAAACCAAGTAAAGGCCCTTCGGCATAGTTCATCATAATATTTCATAGAAAAAAAGAAAATAAACATAATCTAGGCACCACGGTGGTTATATTTTTCTCACATGCTTATCGCGATTTCATCTTGAAAATCCGACCATTCATCTCTATCATTTTGACCCCTCCTACCGCCTTTGAATGTCAGTACATGTACCTCCTCGTCCTCCTCAACATTGACCTCAATCTCATCCTCCTGTAGAGCACCATCAACAACCATGATAAAGTTGTGCAAGCAAGATGAAACACACTATGACTATCTTCACTTGTGTCTTCAACGGGTATATTGTCGCAACTTTTAAGATTGGATACCGATTTTTCAAGACACCAAAGGCCCATTCAATGACATTTCATGTAGAGGAACATCTCTCACTGAAAAGTTCATTGTAGTCTTGGGCCTTTGGTCCACTACGATGGAAAACGTTAAAGTGGTAGCGAGTTTGACGATAAGGGAATAGATATCCTACCGTATTTGGGTAACCGGCATCCACAAGGTAGAATTTCCGTAAACTATGTATTCATTATCTAATCATATGGATGTATAGGTATGTTAGGTCAACTATTGTAGTCCAAATATTTTTACCTGATGGAACTCGAAGAGGGTTAGGATTCAATAAAGAAGAGTACAATATCATGAATATGATGTTGAGGCTTCCCAACCGACGAGGACATATTGGAATGTCAAATTAAATGAGCACACAACCATGACATTCTGAGAAATGAGCCCCTTTCGATTTTTATTTGTGCCTTGCAGTGCACATGGCACAATGGCTGGGATTTGAGTGCCATCAATTGCTGTGATATAATCCTTAAAAATTTGAAAAAGCACAAGCAGTTTGAAGTTCAAATGATTATATATTAATTAAGTAGATGGACAATGTATGGATATGTTAACCTTACCTTAAAATAAAGGAGGAACATCTCTTTTTTACGAAGTATTTCACATGGTATGGTCATCTCTGGAGGTCTAATGAAATTTGTATTAGGTCCTATGACCTACATCCAACACTCAGTTGAAATGCCGGTTGACAGTCTCTCCCGAACGGCCAAATTCATGGATCTTGCAGTTCTTCAAGTTATGCTTCAGGGTATGTAGGAACATCACTAGTTGTTCATCTAGTAATATTTATATTTCGGGTCATTCATCTTTCCCCTTTTCCTGAGAATATCTCGTAAGGTGAAAAACGTTGTCCTACTCATACGAATTTGGTCCCGACAATCCACCTCTCCTTTATTAATTATCTCGATGTGGTATTGGTACCCAATGACCAACATATGTGACCATTTTTTCTATTATTACAAGCAATGAGAGCTACACTGACCACACATAGAGTTGCAGTGTGAACAGCGTACCTCTCTATCATCTTCCTCTTCCCCTCGCGTTCGTCAATTTCCTCCATTTTGTAGGCCACAGATGATATCTACTCCCCGATTTCTATAAAAACAAAGATATTTATCTTTTAAACTACAAACAATAATAACACATATACTATCAACACATAACTTCAAGCACTAGATAAACGTGATAAGACCATAAAAAAAAGAAAAAAACAGAAAGAATTTTCTATGTTTTTCCATTGTAAAAGCTCATTGTCCTTTCCTTTGATATTGCATATAAGCTTATGGTATTCAATCATAGAAGTTCAATTCATACATCTCCATAAATGGTTCAATTCATATATCTCCATAAATGTAATTCATAATGTATTAAAACATTATATTTCAACAAGGTACAAGGCAACAATAGGCATGCCTTTTTAGTGATTAGCGAAAGAGAGTGAGGAACAACAAAATTGAATTTTGCTTGATGTCTTTCTTATGATTTTAATCATGGCATTCTTTGCAATTCTCTTTTGCAGCTTTACGCACCCAATTTCTGATAGATTGCCTAGCCAACTTAACAAAGAATCTGATGAAGAGGGGACTCAATTTGCTCATACAACATGGGAAACCTGAAAATATCCTTCCTTCAATTGCAAAAGCTTTTGGAGCCCATACGATTATGCATCTCTTTCGTCTTTTTGTGATTGAATTTTATTCTAAAGGACAAAGTCTTTCCATGGCTGATGATGGTGATTTTGTAATGAAAGGGTAAAATCCAACCCACCTTTGACATGGATCTTTAAAATATTTTATGCCTAATTGGATTTCTCAAAAAACCAAATGAAATATAGAACATTATCTCTTCCCTAGATTGATGTGATTGTGTTGATAGGTTCAATATCTCTACTAGAGTGAAAACACTAAAAAAACAGTAAAAATTGGAATACACACCAAAGATTCAACTAACATCAATTTCAATTTCACAATCATAAACCAAAGCCACCACAAAAAAAAAAAAAATACTGGATTCAAACATTCAACAATCATCAAAATGCAAGCTCCAAAATCATAACAAAACCACCCAATAAAAAACAAATTTAATCTCCCAAATCATAATAAAACCCCCCTAAAAATTTTTAAGAACTGGGTTCCATCAAACATTATTCACGTAAATCATGACCGAGTTCATCCAAATAAAAATACAAAGTAGGGGTCCCTCAAATAGTTAAATATCAAATTAAAGCTCCCATATCATAACTGACCACCCATAAGCATTAAATTCAATCTCCAAAAACATAACTAACACCCAATAACCATGCTAATTTAAAGGTAATTGTGCAATGGGTAAATATATCAGACAAAAAAGGAATTATGTTGTGAAAGGTACCATACCACATATAGACATTTCTTTGATAAGCTAAATGATAGGAAATTCATGGAAAAGGAAAAGAACCATCTGTTAATATTTCTTAAACAAAGATAAACTAAAAGGGATTTAAATACAAATCCAATTATTGGCATCACGCTGATTAGGGATTTGCATTTAGAAAGTAACACAAACCTATGTGGCACAAGATTCTGAAGTAATAGATAGAAAAATTGAAAAATATTTACACAAATGTATATCCAGATGTGCATAATATATCCTATAATGAATTTATCACTATAGGAAATCAATCCACAAGGTAGGTGGAAATCAATCCATCTACCTTGTTAATCTCGAAAAAATGTACAAAGAGTGAGGAATACAAAGAGACAGAGTTTTGTAGAAAACATAGAAAATAAGAGAGAAAATAAGAGAAAGTATGAAATCAAAGGGAGATAGGTCTTGCGTAAATATCGTCTTTTTTTAGTGTTTCCTCTGCTCGTACAGAGGATAGAGAGATGGACAGCTATGGGCAAAATGAAAGAGAGAGAGAGAGAGAGAGAGAGATGGCTGCTACTAGAGATAGAAATGAACTTCCTTGTAGTGAACGATGGAGTCGTGCTTTGGTAGGAATGACGGATCTTCAACAGGGAGATGGAGTGGTGCTTCAAGGATGGACGATGGTCACAGGGCTAGGATTCAGGGCCTATTGGAGCTTCAGCAGGGACGGGAGATAGTGACAGTGCTACGGTTCAGGGGCTGATGAATCCTTATGCGGACATGAAAAAGAAAACCTTTTTGTAAATTTTCGCTCTGTGGTGGGGACAAGAGTAATCCAAATTTTTATGGATTCGCTTACTCCACCATTTTGGGTGGCATAAGGTTATACACATTTTTTAAGGCAAAACATGGGTTGGATTCGAAAAAAAAAGACTAATGTGATCTTATCGGGCGATATATATTTTTATTTTTATTTTTTTTATATTTTTTTTTTATGTCTTTTCTTTTGGCAAATATCACTTACAAGTAGTCTTATTATAATAACTCTTGCTTCAAAGAAAATAAAACTAACAAATCTAATATCTTAAAAACCTTGATTCCACTAAACCAATTTTCTTTAAACAAAGAAAATATCTACAATTCTTATGTTTGGGAATATAAAATAATATAATTAAATATGACAAGAAACAAAAAGAGAGTGGTAGAGATTACCTCTATCGAACTTATTACACCTCACACCGAGTCACCACCATTCGATGGCGCGGGATCAATGATCAACATTCAATCTCAACCGGGAAAGCAAGTTTAGGCCAAACCGTGAAACAATGAACTCTTTTATCACAAATCTCAAACCCTTAATGAATCCCCTTAGCAATTTAGTTTGATAGAGATGTTTATCTTTTCTACCACAACCCTATAGTATAAAAGCCCAAAGAAAGATGAAAGAGTTGAGAGAACCACCATGAGAGAGATTAAAGATGAGAGAGTGGGGTGTGCCCCTTTGGGTCTCTTGAGGGAGAGAGAATAACTATCTTGAGAGATATATATATATTATAAGTGAGGTGTGCCCCCTTTTTTAGGATGTGTGTGAGAGAGAGATGTGAATTAAGTGTAAGAGATAAGGTGTAAAGATTTGGGTAGGGATCAATCATTTTTTATAGTAGGATCTACGTGCGTTGCACGTTTGTGGGTGTGAACACGCTTGTTTATATAGAGGATCCACCAAATAGGGATGGATGCTCAAAACTAAGCTACATTATGATTAAAAATTACAATAAAATCCCGAATTTAAGAATAATGACCAAAATGCCCCTTAAACCTTTTGCGTTAATGACAAAATCATCCCTTTCTGAGGGGTCTTTCGTCATTGCTAGATAGTGGGAGCATTTTCAGATGCTTGTAGCAATGGTTCAGACGATCCATCATCATAGGCTTGATGCTTGCTTGATTCTGAAAATTTTGATGTCTTTTAATTGTATTAAGACAAACTTTTCCCGAGGGGTAAAAATTTGGTTGGGTTGTGAACTTTGGCCATCAATGCAATGCGCTCCATGGTGCTCTGAGTCTTTATTTTAATTGCAAATTAAAGAGGAGACTGTCACAATTGCTTAGCACCAAATTTTGTCCAATTTTGTTCTTGCTTGAAGTATTTCTTAATTCGGGAGGTCGCCGAAAAAAGGGATTATGGTGATTGGGAAATCTTGTCTTCTTAACCTTGGAATTTGTGTCAGCCGACCTTAGATTGAGTGCAAAAATTGTACCAGTTGTAGCCCTTCGTGATGCGGACGCATTGGACCCGACTTTGTGATGATTTGATGTACGGATCTCAAGTTATCGCTTCACGAAGTTTGAGATGTCTTTCTTTCAAAACTCTGATTTCTATGATTTCAGGCTCATCTTCTCTCTAGAAAAGCTTAGATTCTAGATCACATCATGGCACGTGCCATATGTAAAAATGATTGGGTCATCGAGACCTAGCTTGTATCCGAATTTGAGTTTGTTATGAATTCAAACGAGCGACCTGTGGGTGCTTGCAGATCGTCTCAAGATGTGAAAACACAATCTCCATGATTGAAAACTGATTTGGTGAGGTCGTTCTGCAATAGTGTAAAACCTACCCATTTGTGGTAATTTGGGCCAGAATGTTCTTGGGAGATCCGATTGAGCCCAAATTTGGTCCCTGGAGGTTTTTTGGCGTTCTGGACGCAATGGAAGTGATATGGTATTGGTTTGAAGCCCTTAGCCTAGGGCTATAGTTATAAGGTCTCTTTTCGTCATGATAGGAACTGGTATTTGAGAACCAAATTTCTCCTTGATCAGGACAAAACTTATCTGAATGTGTGCAAGTGTCCTTAGGCTATCCCAAATTACCCTTTTTATATTTTTTTCAAGGTTGCCCAATTTTAGGCTTATTTTGCAGTATTCCATTGGTTCTAGCGGTGTCTTGGGTACCGGCAGGACCAGGTTGTTAATTGCTCTTTTCTTATTTATACCAGGGATGTAAAGTATGTCAAAAATAACATATAACAGTGGGGTGAGAGATTTGAGCCTTTTATTCAATACATGGGTCATCAACATCAGGGAAGGTACTAGAACCTTTATCCCCTATTCCTAAACCATTTTTCCATCAATAAAAATTAAATAAAATAATTCCATTCATAATATAGTGCTTACCAAAATTATGTATAAGCCTCCTCATACTTTCCAAAAATCGTTTGAAAGCTTCCTCAAGGAAAAATCTTTTCAAAACACTTCAAAGCTTTCTCTTCAAGTCAAAGCTTGAACTAACACATGGAAAGTTTCATTATGGTAGGGTGTGCCACCCTAGGTGGTACTTCATGGGGCCCATCCACATGCAATGGTGGACCCATATGCTTATTGGGCTTTCCAAGCAAATAAATTAAGTAAAAATTATATGATTTTTAAAAATTCATAGTGGATAGATTTTTAGAAATTCACAAAATCCAATATGAATAATTACATAAATATCTCTATTTTTACAAATCCAAATTTGATAAATAAAATATCCAAAGATCTAGAAAAATTCAAATAATAATTCTAAAAATTATATATCATTAAAACAAATATAATTAAATTCATTAGATGGGAAAATAATCCATATAGTCTAAGAATTAAATAGATAAACGTTGGGGCACTCCACCTTCAACTGTGGACTACGGTCCACACTTGCTTTATCAAACCGAACTAGTGTTTCCCATGACCCACAGTCCATGCAAGAGCGCATTACGGGGTCACCAAAGTTTTGCAGATGAACTAAAGGGTCGTAATCCCAGTTTGTGGATTTCATGTTCTCTCCTAAAGACGTACCAAGGTCACTTAGACCTGATGACAGCTCCTATGACACATAGTGGTATCTCTAGCATATGCATAAGCTTCACTATGAAAGGTGGTTTGCTTTCTCGAAAGGATTATCATATATACAAGACGTGTGACGGCTCGCAAATGAGGCTTTGACCCCCCTTTCTTAAGGCCACTATTACACATAAGAATCACACAGTCTCTCGGCTCACTCATTCGGGCGTACTCCGACTTCATCACGGGATGACCTATTAGAACGCTTATCGGATAGTTTTCTATACCAATGTAACATAAATTTTCCCAACCGGCTGGCCTAGCTCGTCAATCTCAGTCCGGTATCAGCAAACATCATTTGTTTAGTGTAGTCCATGAGGTACCACACTCCCACTGAGTTCATATTCCATTTATATCGAAATGTTTGTTACAAGCATTCATAAGGCCTTTAATGGCCACACTCACCCAATTGGCTTCTCCGTCAAACTATCTTATCAGCGTGGAGTTGTGCTAACAAAACACTCAAGCAGGGCCGAAAACCTAAAAATTCTTCTATTGGAGAGTCTAATCTAGGTACCCAAACAAGCCCTTTAGTTGTAGAGATTTAAAAAGTAGAATAGTAAATTCTCTTATAGGAATTGGTTATGATAGATTTTTATAAAGATATAGTTTCTATTTTATGAGTGTTGAGGTTGTTATCTCTTAATGGGCTGATAAGCACTATGTAAGGAAAAAAAAAAGAGATAAGAAAGAGTTGAAAAAAATATCAAACTTTATTTTTATAAGATATGAAGTTAGAGAGAGATAATGTTGAGTTGAAAAAGTGGTACGTGGAGAATAGAGAGTGAGAGAGATA